TTGAATTCACGATTTTGGAAAGATAAAATCTTGAAATCGCCCAAAATCTTAAATTCAGGATTTTGGAAAGCTAAAATCTTGAAATCATCCAAGATCTTGAATTGATGATTTTGCAGAGCTGAAATCTTGAAATCTCCCAAAATCTTGAATTTAGGATTTAGCAAGGCTAAAATCTGGAAATAGGCCAATTCTTGAATTCACGATTTTGGAAAGCTAAAATCTTGAAATCGCCAAAAATCTTAAATTCAGGATCTTGAAAAGCTAAAATCTTGAAATGGGCAAAAATCTTGATTTCTGAATGTTGCAAAGCTTAAATCGTGAAATTGGACAAAATCTTGAAGTCAGGATTTAGGAAAGCTAAAATTTTGAAATCAGCCAAAATCTTGAATGCAGGATTTTGTACACCTAAAATCTTAAAATCAGCCTAGATCTTGAATTCAGGATTTTGGAAAGCTAAAATCTTTAAATCGGCCAAAATCTTGAATTCCGGATTTTGGACAGCTAAAATCTTGAAATCGACCAAAATCTAGAATTCAGGATTTTGGAAACCTAAAATCTTGAAATCGGCCAAAATCTTAAATTTAGGACATTTGAAAGCTAAAATCATAAAATCGGCCAAATTCTTGAATTCAGGAATAGAGACAGCTAAAATCTTGAAATCAGCGAAGATCTTGAATTCAGGATTCTGGAAAGCTGAAATCTTGAAATCGGCAATATTCTTGACTTCAGGATTTTGGAAAGCTAAAATCTTGAAATCAGCCAAGATCTTGAATTTAGGATTTTACAAAGCTAAAATCTTGAAATCGGCCAAAATCTTGAATTCAGGATTTAGGAAACCTAAAAACTAGAAATCGGCCAAAATCTTGAATCCAGGATTTTGGAAAGCTAAAATCTTGAAATCAGCCAAGATCTTCAATCCAGGATATAGCAAACCTAAAATCTTGAAATCGGCCAACATCTTGAATTCAGGATTTAGGAAGGCTAAAATCTTGAAATCGCCCAAAATCTTGAATTGACGATTTTGGAAAGCTAAAATCTGGAAATAACCCAAGATCTTGAATTCATGATTTTGCAGAGCTGAAATCTTGAAATCTGCTAAAATCTTAAATTCAGGATTTTGAATAGCTAAAATCATGAAATCGGCCAAAATCTTGAATTCAGAATTTAGGAAACCTAAGAACTTGAAATCGGCCAAAATCTTGAATTCAAGATTTTGGGCGATTTCTAGATTTTAGCTTTCCAAAATCCTGAATTCAAGATTTTGATCGATTTCCAGATTTTAGTTGTCCAAAATCCTCAATTCAAGATTTTGGCCGATTTCAAGATTTTAGCTTTCCAAAATCCCGAATTCAAGATCTTGAATGATTTGAAGATTTTAGCTTTCCACAATCCTGAATTCAAGATCTTGGCTGATTTCAAGATTATAGCTTTCTAAAATCCTAAATTCAAGATTCTGGGCGATTTCTGGATTTTAGCTTTCCAAAATCCTGAATTCAAGATTTTGATCGATTTCCAGATTTTAATTGTCCAAAATCCTCAATTCAAGATTTTGGCCGATTTCAAGATTTTAGCTTTCAGAAATCCTGAATTCAAGATGTTAACTGTTTTCAAGATTTCAGCTTTGCAAAATCCTGAATTGAAGATCTTGGCTGATGTCAAGATTTTAACTTTCCAAAATCCTGAATTTAAGATTTTGGGCGATTTCTAGATTTTAGCTTTCCAAAATCCTGAATTCAAGATTTCGATCCATGTCAAGATTTTAGCTGTCCAAAATCCTGAATTCAAGATCTTGGCTGATTTCAAGATTTTACTTTTTCAGAATCCTTAATTCAAGATTTTCCGCGATATCAAGATTTTAGCTTACAAAAATCCTGAATTAGACATTTTGGCCGATTTCAAGATTTTAGCTTTGCTAAATCCGGAATCCAAGATTTTGGGCGATTTCAAGGTTTTAGCTTTTTAAAATTCTTGAATTCAAGATTTTGGCCGATTTGAAAATTTTAGCTTTCCAAGATCCTGAATTCAAGATTTTGGACGATTTCAAGATTTTAGCATTCCCGAAACGTGAAAGCAAGATCTTGGCTGACTTCAAGATTTTAGCTTTCCAAAATCCTGAATTCAAGATTTTGGCCGCTTTCAAGATTTTAGCCTTCCTAAATCCTCAATTCAAGATCTTGGCCGATTTCAAGATTTAAGCTCCTCCAAAATCCTGAATTGAAGACCTTGGCTTATTTGAAGATTTTAGCTTTCGAAAATCCTGAATTCAAGATCTTGGCGGATTAATAGATTTTAGTTTTCAAGAATCCTGAATTCAAGATTTTGGGCTATATCAAGACTTTAGCTGTCCAAAATCCTAAATTTAAGATTTTGGTCGATTTCAAGATCTTAGCTGACCAAAGTCGTCAATTCAACATTTTGGCCGATTTCGTGATTTTAGCTTTCAGAAATCCTGAATTTAAGGTGTGAACTGTTTTCAAGATTTCAGCTTTGCAAAATCCTGAATTGAAGATCTTGACTGATTTCAAGATTTTTGCTTTCCAAAATCCTGAATTCAAGATCTTAATCCATTTCAAGATTTTAGCTTTCCAAAATCCTGAATTCAAGATCTTGGCTGATTACAAGATTTTAGCTTTCCAAACTGCTGAATTCAAGATCTTGCCTGAGTTCAAGATTTTAGCTGTCCAAAATCTTGAGTTCAAGATGTTGGCCGATTTTACGATTTTATTTTTGCAAAATCCTGAATTCAAGATTTTGGCCGCTTTCACGATTTTAGCTTTCCTAAATCATGAAAGCAAGATTCAGGATTTTGAAAAGCTGATATCAAGATTTTAACTTTCCAAAATCCTAAATTCAAGATTTTGGGCGATTTCTAGATTTTAGCTTTCCAAAATCCTGAATTCAAGATTTTGATCGATTTCCAGATTTTAGTTGTCCAAAATCCTCAATTCAAGATTTTGGCCGATTTCAAGATTTTAGCTTTCCAAAATCCCGAATTCAAGATCTTGAATGATTTGAAGATTTTAGCTTTCCACAATCCTGAATTCAAGATCTTGGCTGATTTCAAGATTATAGCTTTCCAAAATCCTAAATTCAAGATTTTGGGCGATTTCTGGATTTTAGCTTTCCAAAATCCTGAATTCAAGATTTTGATCGATTTCCAGATTTTAGTTGTCCAAAATCCTCAATTCAAGATTTTGGCCGATTTCAAGATTTTAGCTTTCAGAAATCCTGAATTCAAGATGTTAACTGTTTTCAAGATTTCAGCTTTGCAAAATCCTGAATTGAAGATCTTGGCTGATGTCAAGATTTTAACTTTCCAAAATCCTGAATTTAAGATTTTGGGCGATTTCTAGATTTTAGCTTTCCAAAATCCTGAATTCAAGATTTCGATCCATGTCAAGATTTTAGCTGTCCAAAATCCTCAATTCAAGATTTTGGCCGATTTCAAGATTTAAGCATTCCAAAATCCTGAATTTCAGATCTTGACTGATTTCAAGATTTTTGCTTTCCAAAATCCTGAATTCAAGATTTTGGCCGCTTTCAAGATTTTAGCCTTCCTAAATCCTCAATTCAAGATCTTGGCTGATTTGAAGATTTTAGCTTTCCAAAATCCTGAATTCAAGATTTTAATCCATTTCAAGATTTTAGCTTTCCAAAATTCCGAATTCAAGATCTTGAATGATTTCAAGATTTTAGCTTTCCACAATCCTGAATTCAAGATCTTGGCTGATTTCAAGATTTTAGCTTTCCAATATCCTAAATTCAAGATTTTGGCCGATTTGAAGATTTTAGCTTTCCAAAATCCTGAATTCAAGATTTTGGCCGATCTTAAGATTTTAACTTTCCACGATCCTGAATATAAGATTTTTGCCTATTTAAAGATTTTAGCCTTCCTAAATCTTGAATTCAAGATTTTTGCCGATTTCAATATTTTAGCCTTTCTAAATCCTGACTTCAAGATCTTGGCTGATTTCAAGATCTTAGCTTTCCAAAATCCTGAATTCAAGATTTTGACCGATTTCAAGGTTTTTGCTTTCCTAAATCCTGAAAGCAAGATTTTGGCCGTTTTTAAGATTTTAGCTTTCCAAAATCCTGAATTCAAGATTTTAGCTGTCCAAAATCCTGAATTCAAGATTTTGGCCGATTTCAAGATTTTAGCCTTCCTAAATCCTGACTTTAATATTTTGGCCGATTTCAAGATTCTAGCTTTGCAAAATCCTAAATTTAAGATTTTGGCCAATTTTAAGATTTTAGCTTTCCAAAATTCTGAATTAAAGATGTTGGCTGATTTCAAGATTATAGCTTTCCAAAATCCTGAATTCAAGATTTTGGTCGATTTCAAGATTTTTAGCTGTGCAACGTGCTGAATTCAAGATGTTGTCCGATTTGAAATTTTTGGCTTTCCCACATCCTGAATTCAAGATTTTGGATGATTTCAAGATTTTAGTTCCTAAGTCCTCACTTTAATATTTTGGCCGATTTAAAGATTCTAGCTTTGCAAAATCCTGAATTCAAGATCTTGGCTGATTTAGAGATTCTAGCTTTCCAAAATCCTGAATTCAAGATTTTCCGCGATATCAAGATTTTAGCTTTCAAAAATCCTGAATTAGACATTTTGGCCGATTTCAAGATTTTAGCTTTGCTAAATCCTGAATTCAAGATTTTGCCCGATTTTAAGATTTTAGCTTTCCAAAATCCTGAATTCAAGATCTTGGCTGATTTCAAGATTTTATCTTTACAAAATCCGGAATTCAAGATTTTGCCAGATCTTAAGATTTTAGCTTTGCAAAATCCGGAATCCAAGATTTTGGGCGATTTCAAGGTTTTAGCTTTCCAAAATTCTTGAATTCAAGATTTTGGCCGATTTGAAAATTTTAGCTTTCCAAGATCCTGAATTCAAGATTTTGGACGATTTCAAGATTTTAGCATTCCCAAATCGTGAAAGCAAGATCTTGGCTGACCTCAAGATTTTAGCTTTCCAAAATCCTGAATTCAAGATTTTGGCCAAACATCAATACGCCGCTCGCCTACAGGAGGGCGTAGGGCTTATTCCTGCACTGCGAGTAGTACCAAATTCAGTTGGCAGTTCACATCAACGTGAGGAGGTCAAGGAAGGGTGGGCGCTGAAACAAGTGAAGAAACCATACCGTTTCAACCAAAAGCAGAAAACCTACTTGGAGCAAAAGTTCAATATCGGCCAGTCCACCGGCAGTAAGATTGACCCTGCCTTTGTAGCGAAGGAAATGCGCCGTTCCAGGGGCAAACACGGGGAAAGGTTATTCGTTGTTTCTGAATTCCTGACACCACAGCAAGTGTCCTCCTTTTTCTCGCGACTGGCACTAAAAGTGCGTCAGCAACAGGTTGAGGTCTCGGAAGAGGACGCCTTAGCTGTAGAGGAGCAAAGCAATTTCGCTACTGCAAAAGAAAATGTGCTTTCTTCCCTGCAGCTCCGTCATCCCATTGTTGTTGACCAGTACAACGTATGTTCTCTGGTCAACAATAAATCTGAGTTTCGGAAAACGAAGGTGGCACTGCTCCAACATCTTTGCGAACGCTTAGAGCTGAATACACCTGTACCAGCAGTGAGGAGGAAGGCCCCATATGTGGAACTTTTAGAAGAAGTTGTAAATAGCTGCTGTTGTAACCACCGAAAATGAACAAATTAGCTTACTCCCAGTGACTGGAGCTACACTAATTTTCTCATGTAATTCAAGTTAAGTTTTTATTTGTTCGCGATTCGTGGTTGTTAACCCTCGGACGTACACGCAAATTCATACCCCTGCCGTGGTACAACCGGGGGGGGAGGGGAAGGGATGGATAGAACCCCTTCCGGGAGTTTTTGATATGTTGCAGTATTTTGAAACGAGTTTACCTTTAGTGGAAAGCCTTTGCTCTTCTCAACAAGGTGAGGTATATTTTATGGGTAGTGGCGCTGCTGGAGGCCTGTGACGTCACCAACAATGGTAGCCATCTTGGCCACCATCTTGGATTTTACCAAGAAGTAGAAATCAGGACAAAACTGCGAGAAATGGTAATGTTTTGTGATTTACATGAAAAATAACACATAAATAAGTACTTTGCAGGATTTTAGCCACAAGATACACTTTTATTGTTAAAAGAAGTTGAAAAAACAAGTATTTTCACCCCAAATTGGCTTGACCACCTGCTACTTGTGACGTCATATTTCGTAACCATAGCAATTGACCACGACCAAACTTGTCTCAAAACCTGCGCGAGGGATGAACGAACAGCTACTGAAAACGTCAGATGTTTTATTCTTTAGGAAAAAACTCAGAAAAACCTAATGGGGGCGGGGTGGCATCCACTCCCCTTTCTTGTACGTCCGAGGGTTAACATCCCAAGACTATTATTCACGTGTGGATGAAAGGGGTTTTGGAATTTCGGTGGCACCGTACCGTTGATCTAACAAGCGTATTTAAAACTTTGACTTAAACGAACGATAACTTCGGAGCAATATTGCAATGTACACATTACCGTTCTTTCAAAAGTAGACTGAGTACACTTCAACACTTACTCGTAAAAAAATTCTTACCAGCAGTAAAATGAAAATATTTTATATAGTTTCATTTTATTGAAAAATGATACCTGCAGGTCTTCCAAATTTTCATACCCATCGAAAAATCGAAAAAAATTTGTAGCTCATTCATTCATTATTATTCATTGTCATAGTTCATAATTGCGCCTGTAATGACAATGGAGCCACCTTGGGTCCCTTGGGCGTAACCCGTAAACAATGGTTTGATTTGAACGTGATTTACCCTTTAGCCTTAATAGAGGGTCTTTAATAGAATCACGGCAACTTGAATTGTACCAAGTGATATATTTTCCTCACCATATTCTATTTATTTTGTCTTCAAATTATTTGGGATGGTTTTTATCTGCTCATTTCCCAATATGAAGAATTATCAGTTTGAATCTAAGTAGTTTGCTGTTTCAAAATGAACAAACGAGAGAAATTTTAATTCCATGCTCAACTTTTATTTTGTATGTGGATTACGTGTGGTCACCTATTCTGCATGACAGAGATATCTGTACACTGAGCGAAGTTAGGATTAGTTAGTTTATTACAAGCAAAGACAGGTACAACAAAAAGGTTTTACACCTCCTGATTTTTTTTCCTTCTCGGTTCAAGTTTGTTGCACATTTGAAAATCAAATATTTACAGTGTAGCAGAAAATCGCCCGGTAGTTTAGTTCAATTGACAGGTTTTGTGGAAGTTATAAAACTACTGAAAACAACAAGAACCGGTGCTTTTTAAAGCATTTTACGTATTCTTTTTACACTCGGTCGTGATTTAGCTTTGTCTGCAGAGTTGCGTGACCAGACTCGAACCACACACGATACTTTCAACAGCATACAGTTTATAAAGTCGCTCAGTTTTAAACGACCAAGTCATGTGTAAACAATTTTTAAAAGTGTTTCAGTGAATTGCGACTATTTGCAGTTGAAATGACTGAGGTAAGAGAATTCCTATAGATCTGGTGTCCCATTCAGAAATACCACGCCGTTTTTAGCGGCTTTTACTTAAAAATTAGAAACTCAGGGTCAATATTTACACTACCAGAAGTGCGTTGTCTTCTTGAATGTTGCATGCAATCACCCGATCAAATACAGTGTTAATCTACATAGCCCTTTATAACAAACTGAAAGCATATTTAAAACGTTTTAAGAAGTTTTCGCATTGTGAACCTCTGTTAAAGAAGCTAAGTTTACAATAGCACTTGTCTACCCTCATTGCGGCTTGTTTGTGTCACCATTCCCACGTGCGAAAATATCCTCCACGTTTCGGTGTCTCAGCGACGTGCTTTTGTAATGCCGCAAGAGATTTTTTAACAGAAGAAACAGCAAACAATTTGCTTGATAACAGTGTTTATTTCATGTTGAAATTCTATGTACCAATTGGGTTTTTTCGATGGTGAAGTTAGCCCAAATTTGCCATTTTTGAAAAGAGCCGAAACCGTGTTTCTTCTTGCGGCCGGCACAGTCACATTCACACAGTTTATCTAAAGTTAATTGCTGAATTATAAAGCACAAGTCTATGTTTGTTTTGTGACTTGATTTCATTTAGAGATATTATCCCGTTTTTATGTACGAGCGCGAAGAAAATGCTCAATTTTCGCTAATTTCATACTCGAAAAAGCGCCGATTTTCCGTTTTTCAAACTTTGCCCGATTCCTGAAAAAATAAAAAGCCGTCACAAGTTTTAATGTGATTTTTGAAATAAGTGTACTATAGAGATTATTTGGGCAAAATATGGAGAAATTCAAAAATTCACGACTGTCAACCGATTCTCGAAAATTACAGACATTGGCTCTTAAAATCCTGACTTCAAGATTTTGGCTGATTTCCTGACTTTAGCTTTTCAAAATCCTGTAAGGACGATCTTGGCTGATTTCAAGATTTTAGCTTTCCAAAATCCTGAATTCAACATTTTGGCCGATTTCAAGATTTTAGCTTTTCAAAATTCTGAATTCAACATTTTGGCCTATTTCATGATTTTAGCTTTCCAAGATACTAAGTTCAAGATTTTGCCCGATTTTAAGATTTTAGCTTTCCATAATCCTGAATTCAAGGTCTTGGCTGATTTCAAGATTTTACCTTTCCAAAATCCTGAGTTCAAGAGGTTGGCTGATTTCAAGATTTTGGCCGATTTCTAGATTTTAGCCTTCCAAAATCCTGAATTCAAGATTTTGGCCGATTTCAAGATTTTATCCTTCCTATGTCCTGAATTCAATATTTTGGCCAATGTGAAGACTTTAGCTTTCAAAACTCCTGCATTCAAGATTTTGGCCGATTTCAAGATTTTAGGTTTCTAAAATTCTGAATTCAAGATCTTGGCTGATTTCAAGATTTTAGCTTTCCAAAATCCTGAATTCGAGATTTTTGCCGATTTCAAGACTTTAGCTTTCCTAAATCCTGAAAGCAAGATCTTGGCTGATCTCAAGATTTTAGCTTTCCTAAATCCTGAATTCGAGGTTTTGGCCAATTTAAAGATTTTACCTTTCCAAAATCCTTAGCTCAAGATCGTGGCTGATTTCAAGATTTTAGCTTTCCAAAATCTTGAATTCAAGTTCTTGGCTGATTTCAAGATTTTAGCTTTTCAAAATCCTGAATTCAAGATTTTGGCCGATTTCAAGATTTTAGCCTTCCTAAATCGTGAACTCAAGCTTTAAGCCAATTTAAAGATTTTAGTTTTCCAAAATTTTGAATTCAAGATTTTGGCCAATTTTAAGATTGTAGCTTTCCAAAATCCTTAGTTCAAGATCTTGGCGGATTTTAAGATTTTAGCTTTCCAAAATCTTGAGGTCAAGATTTTGTCCCATTTGAAGATTTTAGATTTTTAAAATCCTGACTTCAAGATTTTGAATGATTTCATGATACTAGCTTTCCAAGATCCTGAATTCAATATTCTCGCCGATTTCAAGATTTTAGCATTCAGAAATGCTGAATTCAAGATTTTGTCCAATTTCAAGATTTTACCTGTCCAACATCCTGAATTCAAGACCTTGGGCGATTTGAAAATCTTAGCTTTCTAAGATCCTGAATTGAAGAGTTTGGCCGATTTCAAATTTTTAGCTTTCCTAAATCCTGAAAGCAAGATTTTGGCCGATTTCAAGATTTTAGCTTTCGAAGATCCTGAATGTAAGATTTTGGCCGATTTCAAGATTTTAGCTTTCGAAAATCCTGAATTCAAGGTCTTCGCAGATTTCTAAATTTTACTTTTCCAGAATCCTTAATTCAAGATTTTGGGCGATATCAAGATTTTAGCTTTTCAAAATTCTGATTTCAATTATTTTGGCCTATTTCATGATCTTAGCTTTCCAAGATACTAAGTTCAAGATTTTGGCCGATTTTAAGATTTTAGCTTTCCATAATCCTGAATTCAAGGTCTTGGCTGATTTCAAGGTTTTAGCTTTCAAAAATCCTGAATTCAAGATCTTCGCGGATTTCAAAATTTTACTTTTCCAGAATCCTGAATTCAAGATTTTGGGCGATATCAAGATTTTAGCTTGTCAAAATTCTGATTTCAATATTTTGGCCTATTTCATGATTTTAGCTTTCCAAGATACTAAGTTCAAGATTTTGGCCGATTTCAAGAATTTAGCTTTCCAAAACCCTGAATTCAAGATCTTGGCTGATTTCAAGATTTTAGGTTTCCAAAATCCTGAATTCAAGAGCTTGGCTGATTTCAAGATTTTGGTCGATTTCCAGATTTTAGCTGACCAAAATCCTGAATTCAAGATCTTGGCTGTTTTCAAGATTATAGCTTTTCAAAATCCTGAATTCAAGGTTTTGTCCGATTTCAAGATTTTAGCTTTCCAAAATAATGAATTCAAGATTTTGGCCGTTTTCAAGATTTTAGCTTTCCAAGATCGTAAGTTCAAGATTTTGGCCGAGTTAAAGATTTAGCCTTCCAAAATCCTGAATACCAGACTTTGGTCGATGTCAAGATTTTAGTGGTCAAAAATCCTGAATTCAAGATTTTGGCCAATTTCAAGATTTTATCTTTCCAAAATCCTGAATTTAAGATATTGACCGATTTCAAAATTGTAGCTTTCCAAAATCCTTTATTCAAGATCTTGGCTGATTTCAGGATTTTAGCTTTCCAAACTCCTGGATTTAAGATCTTGGCTGA